GTATAGGGCTTTTTTTTGTTCAGCAAGTATAAGGCAATGTTTTAAATCCTGAACCAGTGGCTGACCTGGTTTTCTTCTTGGAAGAAGAATAGGAGGAAACTCATTTGATAGGGGTTTATTGGTCCAATGCTGCAGTCATCTGAGTCAACAACCCATTAATAACATAGGCGGGGGATTTAGAGGTGTAAAACGGGCTGTGCCTCCCATCCCTGTGATATTTTGGGGGGTCGGCCTGGCACAGCCCACGGACCAAGCCCATTCTGGGTCGGGCTGGGCCAGGCTGGGCTGTGGACTGGGCCAAAGTTATTTATTTAAAAAAATTGAAAAAAACTTAAAATTTTAATTTCATATGAATTTTGATGTATACAATTACTTACATATACAATAATTAAATAAAATAGTATAGTAAAATTGAAAAGAATTGTTTCTTTTATTAATATTATATATATAAATATATAAAATATATATTGGCCATGCCGGGTGCAGGGTCAGCAATTGTGCAAGAAAAAAGTTATAATTATCCTGCCTAAAGTAGGGGTGATCATGGGTTTGGTAAGGGTATACAGCCCAGGCGCAGGGTCAGCTATTGTGCCTATGACAAATATTGCATAAACCAAAACTGGGCCCGGGTTGGGTTAGCTTTGGGCCTGTAAATCAAGGTGGTCGGCTTAAACACATGGTGGTCAATAATGTGTAGAAGGCTTTGCAAGTATCTTAAAAACTCAACGAGTGTAAGATAATATGAATTTTGTCTAAGTCCCACATTGCTCGTTAAATAGAATGAAGGCAATGTAGGAGAGTCAACCCTGGAGAACAATTAATTCTCTCCCATGTGAGTTTATTAATTATTCAATTCATGAATGTATATTATATGTTAAAGTATTTGTATATATAATATTAAATAGAATACATAATACAATATTTTATAATATAAAATTCATCACTCTCAAACATGGGAATCCAACTGTACATATCAATGTCAGCTCCATGCTATGCGAGTAGAGGTCTGGTCTCATATTAAACATCATTATCATCATTATCCATGCTTTATCCTAACTATACTTTGTCGGTTATATGAATCCTGTTTTGCCAATTTATTATTTTGAAAGCCATATCTACTGTTAAATTGTTAGTGTTTATATCATTTTTATTGCTACCCATGTGCTTTTCAGTCTATCCCTAGCCCTTCTAGTCCTTTCCACTTGTAAAAAATCACTTCTAATTGGGGATGTTGGTGGTTTTCTATGCATGACATAAATTTTGTCATTTAATCACCTATTGGTACTACTAGGATCTTACATTTGACTTCATTTCTCAACCTATCCTTCTTAGTTTTTCCACTTACCCATCATAATATTCCATATATCATAGCTAGTCTTGCAATATGTCTGGGACCAATACTATTCTCATATTAAATATATTTATAGTATTGTATATACTTTTGATTCGAATTTCATGTTCACAAAGCTGGCTACACATTTCTCACAGCCCCCTTGCAGCCGTCATTGGGAATCTCCCCATGAATAAAAACATACAAGTAGGGGAGATGATTCCATTGCACAACTGCAAGGAGCTATGAGGACGAAATTTGAATTCATATAGTGGGCTTAGCTAGTTAGGGCCTAAAGTGATGGATCGACGCCCAGAATTTTTTGGCCGGTCTGAAAATGGATTCCCAATACCAGAGGTGGTGATGGTAGGATCTATTATAGATGGCATGCTCTCTACTCTGATGATGTCAACAGGTTGAAATTCTTGGTTGTAAGTTGGGTTTTTAATTTTTATTGTTATTTGGACTAGGTGGGAGAGCACAACATCCGGCTACACACGGGGAATGTGCTATCAGCCTGTTTGCATGCGTCTAGACTCTAGAGTCCCCATCAGTAGCATATGGGCGATTCAACCTAAAGTAGATGCATGAAAATTGTGTTTGGTTGGGTCATTTCCGCTTTGAGGTCGCATTGCTCAATAAGCACCATGCCTAGATCCTATAAAACGCATCTAGAGAAAACGTCAAATGGGTTCTGGATCTGCTCGTCACAAAGCGCTTCTCACACCCACTTCGAATCATGTTCTAGGCTTACATTGAGAATATCTCCCGTGCTTGTATTTTATTGTTCATGCGAGCAACTTTCCATTAAGGTTTTAAGAAAGCCTAGAAACAAAACTGCTTTGATCATCGGTTTTTGAGTCGGTTGTTCAACTGTTATTGTATTAGGGTTTTATCTTTGTTTTATGAGAAAAGAGAGAGAGAACTAGGTGATTGTTGGATAGCAAAATAACGGAAATAAATAAAGTAAAAAAAGGAGATTAAGAAAAGCAAGGAAGGAGGGAAGGAAAGAAAGGAGGAGGATGAGGGGGAGGCGATATTCACCTGTAATGGTGATGGTGACAACGTTGTTGATGGCGGCTTCTTTCTCAGATTTGAGATCTGAGATCTCGTCTCATTTCTCTTTTTCTCTGAGCTTAGATCTAAGATCATAAATCCGAGATTTTAGATTTCAGAGATTCTCAGATATGTAATCGTGTCTTAGTCCTCCCATCTCTTATCCTCTTTTCTTTTCTGTAAAAAATGTTTTTTATTAAACCGTGAAGGCGTGAACCACTGCCTAGGTTAAACTGTTTAGTGGTTTGACTGTCTTGTCAATTGTTCTCTAACCAATTCAACGTTTTCTTTCAAAAGAGTAGTCCAATCTAAAATGGACTTCGATGTATGACTGGTTATTTGGTCTAATGGTTTGCCGTCTGCTCTGGTTCAATTTTTAACAGTGTTCCCAATAAACAGCCACGGTGGGATGCGAATGTGAGGTTGGTGTAAGGAGCACTCTTAGGAGTAGATCCCAATTCTTTACGAAGCTGCTTTGGTGATAATTTGTCGTCCTGCGTCAATTCCATGCAAGGTTCAAAGTAATGATACACCCATTGCGCTTCTCACTGTGGTCCAGTGTGGCATGTGCAGCTCCCACTTGTGACTCAAAACTCAATACCCAATTATAATGTGATTCCATCGCAATAATTATTGGGATGTCTTCTCTGTTCACTTACCGTGGTATAGTTCTTTGTTTTAGTGCGAAGATATTGATAGAACATATAATTATTGGGAGTTTTTGATTTGATTTTTTCTATTGATTAGAGATTCTTATATTCGACAAGCGGTCATGCCATTTGAACACTGCTTTGATAGTGTTGACTTGTATGTGTATATGGTTTTGGGTGCGAAGGGGCGCCAAGGTTTGGGAGAAGCTAAACAACCATTGTACTTCATTAATTTTTTTTTCTGTAATAATGAATTTCTGTTCCTCCCATGGCTGTTGCCCGTTGTTAACAAGGACTTACCAGTTACCATGTTAAGTCTCTTTGAGTGCTCTGATTTTGTACCTATTCTTTTGCTCGTTTATTTGCTAATTGATCCTAGATATTGGGTTTGCCATTTCGCAAAATGCTAATTTAATCCAAGTAAATGACCTAATAAATGATTTGTTGCTGGAATCCAGTTTCAGCAGTTATGATAATTGCAATCATCAATGGGTCACCTCAGCTTCTATTGATTGAAGTATAAGCTAATAGAAAGAAGATGTCTGTAGGTTTCGAAGATCCGTAAGGTACAATCGGTTGTGGTGGTTTGCCTGGAGATTAGGAAAGGCAATGGGCAGGGAATCCGTACAAATTTCCCCTCAATTTCTCAAAGTTCCAAACCCCATAGACTTGAACCCAGATCGATTAATGATAGCACCAAATCTCTTTGTACTACTTTAAGTTATTATGCCATTTTTCTTTTTGTATTATTTAATTGAATAAAATAGATTTAATTAACTTTCGTATTCATCAAAACATTTAATACATATATTTTATTAACAATTTCAATTAAAAGTTAAAAGAAATAATAAATAAGCATTTTATAACTGAATGAAATAAACAATTTATCAAGTTTAAATTTAGAAATAAAACATTAATAATAGAATAATTATCTTAGTATAAATTTAGGGTTTTCATCTAAAATCTCAAACCCGTATCAAAACCTGTAGGATTTTGATAAACAGGTCCTAATAGGGCTGGATACTCGAAAATTCCCATGAAAATGTCATCCCTAACTGAGGTGGCCATGCTTCTCACCTTGGATGAACTCGTTGAAACTAAGGTCTTTATTAGAAACCTTGCGACATGAAGACTGCTTATTAGTTCTAACTTCTGGGTCTCACACATTAGAGAGATTGCATCATTATATTGCATTTGCAAGATCTTCGTTCCACGACAGGGGCGGAGGCTAGGTGGTGGCAGAATTTAAAATCCCCACAGTTTCTACTTTTATCTTACTTAAATACACCCCCCCCGCCCCCGCCCGCCGCCCTTCAAGAAAAAAGTCCTTAACTCCGCCCCTTCTGCAATCCTATGATCCCCACTAAGAGGCTCCGGCGAGTTTGTTTGTGATGTTGAGATTCTTGCTACGCATATTTACTTCATTTCGTGATATCGCTAACCCGCATTCCTAGCCATCTCGCAACATGCTAATTTAATCCATGTAAATGACCCAATTAATTGAATCGATCTTGCATCTTGATGGCGCACCGAGAGTGAAATGGTTCAAGATCAAGATATACCAAAATATCGACCCAATTAACTGAATGTCAAAGAACGGGGAATCCGCGTATCAGAAACCCAGGGCTTCCAAAGCACTGGAATCCACGTATCAGAAGCCCAGAGCTGAAGGCTCTTAACAAGAGATGACGCTAAGAGGTAAGAGCTATTGGACAATGGGATAGGTATAGAGACATAGACTAAAGGGAAATCCCAAATCTGAAGCTCACATCATTTGAACTTGCTGTTGCCAGAAATCAACAGAACATACAAAGGGAAATCCCAAATCTGAAGCTTACATCATGCAGAAGGATTATGCTTATTATGTACCATTTTCTATTTCCAGGACATTTGGCATCATAATTCTTCGGCGGCTAAGAAACAAGGAAATGAACTAGTAAGTGAAAATCCTGTAATATGTGATCTGCATCAAGTTAGAATGATTTCTTCTGATAAAAAGGAGTGAGCATAATTTTTCGGTAATTAATTTAATTGTCTCAAATGGTTGTCTGCCCACTACAAAATTCTGGGAAAATCCGTATGTGCATGAGGAAGATACCCAGATGAGCAGACAATTCCAGTATCAATCGGCACTGTTAAGTAGACGAAGAATTCCAATCAGTCAAATAGTTGTGTCACCACCGGTTCAGCTGAGGCAAAACTTTATCACTGGTCCCTCCAGTAGGATCTAAGCCGTAAGCACAGTCAGCTTTAGCTTGGCCTATTTCGTCAGCACCTGAACTGGTATCCTCTTCCATTTCATCTTCATCTTCCTTGCCTGATCCTACCACAACATCATCATGCTCTTCTGAAGCGTTCTCCTCATTTGCAAAACCCCATCCAGGTACAACCTTCCCTCCCTGTCTGATAACACTGTCACAACCATACAAAGAGTGGGATCTCATATCCAAAATGCTTCTCTCAGAGTCATCAGGGAGGATGTTTGAAGGCCATCTATTATTCCCATTATCCACGGTTGCTCTGTAAGTGGTGGATGCACCTTCAATATTGCTTCCCTTGACCTGCTGATTTATGGAAAAGGTAGTCTTTTTCTCTTCTTCCTTGTTATTATCGCCTTTTATCTCTGAAGTGGGATTGAATCCAGCCCCACCCATCTGAGTTCCAGATGATTCCTGATGTGTTGTTGTTGCTTGAACTTCTACTGGAAGCTTCACACTTGCCCCGTTGAGCTCAAAGTTGCTGCTGCCACTCGTGAAAACCTTTGGAATCCTTCCATCATTTTCCTGCTGAATAGTTGCATTATTTTCATTGACAAGCGCTGCGTGACATCCTTTCTCCCTGTCTTCCACCTTGTTTACACCTTTCTCAGAGTTGATTCCTTTAGTTTTGGATTGAACCTTGAGCTGTGTAGGCTTTCTTCCACGAGATCGGGGTTGGCACTTATCGGGAGAATGTAAGCCATCAACTGTAGCAATAGGCTTCTTTGGTCTCCCTCTCTTTGATGTCTGTTGTCCAGCTAGTGCATTGTTAGCAGGATCCACGGGAATTTCCTCCATTGTTGGCTTCAAAGACAAAACCTCTGCTTCAAGCTTCATTAAGCGGTTTCCATAAGCAGCCATTTCTGATTGCAACTGACTAATTGCGGTCCACAGCTGAACATTCTCCATTGACTGCATAACCAACACCATAGCCAAGCTATAAATTTATTGCCACATTAACAATATGGTAAACTTAATCCAAAAAAAAAAAGAAACCAAAAATATTAGATAAAAGGTCATACTTGAGCTTCCCACATTTGCTGGTGCTTTTGAGAAAGTTTTGTTTGAGGTCGGATTATTCCTTTCTGAGGGGTTCGTACACAGGATGCTGAGTAGTCAAGAGCAGGTTGCAATGTTACAGGAAAGTAGCCATATGCTCCCGGAAAAGCATATGCTGGCTGTGTTTGCTGTCCTTGACTCCACCAAGATGAAGGATCCCATGGACCTATTATCAATGCAAGAGTTCCATCTTAATTAGTAGGATTCCTCTGTAATTGTTTTTGTTCAGAATTCAGAATTAATTTGTTGCATTATATACAAGTAATAGAGCAAGTGAACAGCCATATGCACCTACCTGAACATCTAATTGGATGCGAGTATGCACCCTGGAAACAGAAACCGGGAACATGGGGTTCATTTCTTGAGGAATTTCCTCCGGCTACGAATGAAGTTTGCCAGCTGGAGTCTGTGGTTCCCATAGGAACAGCGGGCTGATAAGCTCCTCCCAGTGCGTGGAATCCAGGACGTGGGGGTAACCACATTGTCACGCTCGTTTGGCTTGCTTGGTATGGTAGCTGGCCCTGTTGGAACTGATTATTAATGACACTCTGTTGCTGCTGCTGTGGTTGTTGGGGTGTGCTTAATAATGGTGATTGCCATCTGTTTAAAAGAAGTGTTGGGATTTGTTGGGTGGGAAGAGGTCTGGGAATCATTGGAGACTGTTGGAGAGTGGGTTGAGGTGTGTATGGCCATTGAAAAATAGGTTGATATTGCTGACCCACGGGTGGAGCATTCTCATGTGGAGGGCTACCATTTCTGGGATTCTTTCTGGGGATACCAGTTTGGTTTTGATCTTCCTTGCCCTGTTCACAGTCAGCACCAACATGTAAAAAAAAACTGAACATGCAAACAAGAAAACAACCAACCGGAAAAAGAAAATGATGGTGACCTTTCAATTCCAGTGAACCCAGTTTCATATTCTAAGCCGGAATCCATTTACAGAGATAAACTAGAAGGGTTAACTTCCTCAAAGAGAGAGCAAGCATAGGGGAACAAGAACGGAGAGCCATTTGCACAAACCAGCAACATAGACCACTAACTAACTACTTATTATGTGGCTCAAGTACCGGTTTTCTTCATACAACCTAGTAAATGAAGAGATAGATAAAGTGATGGTTGGCTGGTTTGGCATCTATATCCAATTACAAAGAACTGAAACTTTTCCCATTAGAAAACTCCCAGGTCCAATGCGAGGTTTTCTTATGCATGGAGAAGAGAAGAGAGACACTGAACAAACACAAGTGCAAATAGAAATGCAAATCACAAGTTGTTCCGCAGCAGTAACGGAGGTTGAGGTTCAGCAGACTCATGAAGAAACCAGGAAATACATTTTCAACGAAGTAAGGAAAGAAGCAAAAAAACCTGCTTAGTCCTTACCTCGAACTCATTCGTCTCAGCTTCTTGGCTGGTTAGCTGGAGCTTGTTGTCCTTCTTCTTCTTTTCCATGGACAACAGGAGATTCTCTTGCTGCCTTTCTTGGATGTCTGTTGTCTCCTTTCTTTTACCCCTTGTTCAGACACGCATACAACGAAGCAGAGAGCAGAGAAGTGGCTAGGCCTATGCCATTGGAGGCCGTAAATAGAGCTTGAGTGTCTTCAGCAGTTGAGCTCTAGGGAATGTGTAAAGGAATTTACAGCCCCTGTTCCGTGTTCTTGTTGCCGCTGTCCTTTGTGTCTGTTGTAACAAAATATCAAAAGAAAAAAAAAAGAGTAAAGAGAAAGGTGAAGGTGACTGTGACTCGAGTTAAAAGCAATTGCACAGTTTGCTTGATTATCAGATCAGACGGTGGGAGAATCATCAGTCAGCAGGGGCCATTTGGAGTATAGAGAAAAAAACACGTGGCTTGAGAGAGAGGAGGGATCTCACTTCTCATATCTGAATCTGATAATGGGGTTTGAGTTTTGTAATTTGTAAAGAGAAAATCAAAATCATTAATGGTAAACGGTCATTTAACCATTTTTGGATAGGTGAATGCCATTCCTGTTTTAGACTAGAGCAATGGGTACGGAAGCACAGTTGACAGCGTCCCGCCATTGGAAGGGAAAGGTTGGAGTTGGGTTTTCAGTCTCACTCACGCTCACCCGAGGCCGTCAGTCGCTGCCGTAGAGCGTCATTCGTACTTGATTCGATGTTGTGGGTCCCTACCTCTCTCTCTGTGTCTATCAATCACATTGATGTTGACGATAGAGGTCCCGAATTATCTAATCTATCATCGTCGTCTCATCTGAACAACTGCGAGCGTGTGGCGGGGTTTGGTTGGGTTGGGTGGGGCCTTCTTCTTTTTATCTGGTGGAGTTGGTGCTCTATACTCTGGGTCAGCGTCGTGAGTCCAGGATCCTCGATTTGGTACATGGTTGGAGGCTTCCCAAATGACAACCGTCCGATCTCGAATTCTCTGTTTCTGTTCCCTGGTGAAAAGTCTGGGCAGTTGTATTATACTATTATGCTTGTGGGTCCTCTCCTTCTGGGTTACCAATCTCATCATTTCCATTTTAATACAGATGTGGCGATGGCAGGCGGTGAAGCATAGAGTCCGTGCAGATTCACGGGAAAAGTAAAAATAAAAAAAAAATAAAAACAGAGGAGTTTCCCTTTATTAAATTGAGGAAATAAAAAAAAAAAAGGGGGAAGAGAGTTGAAGGTCGGCGAGGAGTAGGGGAGGCAGGACTATGGAAAGGGACGTTGGTCGCATGGAAGACCACCCCTGCTCGGTCAAAGTTTTCATTTCTTTACTTCCTTCCAGACACACACCCCACACACGAGCCAATTGCACTGTTCGTTGAAACCCAGCCCCGACCCGCTTCATTCATTCCTTCGTATTCCGTACCCACAGAGCGTAGTAGTGTCAAGTGTGGTCGGGCGGGGGGGACGAGTTGGGTGGGTGGCCATTGGCGGAATGGCCGTAGAAGAAAGAAGATAGCTCCCCCGTAATTTGAGAGAGAGGAAGGGCTAACAGGGTAGCCAACGAAAATCCTCTTTTCTTGAGACATTTTCTCACTTTTTCATTTGCAGAATTCCCAAACTTCAACCACTACAGTACAAAATGATTATTTAATTTAATTTATCAATATTATTTTATTGATCCTTAAAATCTTAAAATGATTTGATTATACCGATTCTCCGTCCGTCTTCATTAGTGCATATTTTACGGGAAAATAATTCATTTCAATTTCACGGATTTGGTTTCTATTCTAGTCTATAGTCTAGACATAAATGTCATTTGCAATTCCAGTTCTCCCAGAAATGAATCTCGGTGGGACTTTAGGAGAAGAGCAGCGATTACTAGCATTCCGGTTCCGTTGGAAAGGTTTTTATTGTAATTCTGTTTTGTTGTTTATTTTGAATGGAATGAATCAATGAATGGTTGTTGGTTATTGGCAGACAAAGTAGGAAAGAAAACCTCGTAATTGAATGTGGGTTTATAGTACCACTTGCGTACCGAATTTGGACCGATCCTGCAATCAAATCTAAACGTTGGCATTGCAGCCCAAGGCCTAGTCCAATCCAAGATAAAGCCGAATTTGTCCAGCCCAAGCCCATCTAAAGCTAGATCCCGAACCGGATTTGGGGGCCTCTAATTACCCACTCACCCGACTTATCCTGGGCTCCATATGTTGTGAATCAGTCAAGGGAAGAGTGACATTGTTCTTTTCTTTTTAAAAAGAAATAATACATATCGCTTTGACTTCCCAAACCCAAATTAATACAAGTAGAGAGAGAGAGAGATAGGAAAGTTAGTTATTCGTGCCCTTGGGTCTTGAAAGGCTTGTAAGCCTTGACATCAGTGGCCAGGCCCTGGACAGATCCAGCAGCAGCCACAATTGAGACCACCAAGCAGGCCCAACTCAATATTTTGAGCCAAGTCCAAGTGAAGGAAAACCTGGGTATCTTGGCCTGTGCAATGTACATCTCTATTGGAAAGTACACGGTCAAGGGCCAGAACGAGGCTGCTCCAAGCAGGCCCAAGAAATCGTTGAAGAAGGGGAAAATCATGGCCACCACGGCCGTGACTATCACGTACACCGTCCTCCACACCACCCGAAAGAAGTTGATATTATATGCGCCATATGCTGGAATGTTGATGGCGTATTCTGTGCTTATGAATCCGTTTTCGGGCCAACGGTGGTTGCACCATTTCTCCACGAATCCGTATACGGGTTGACAGAATACCTGCGCGTGCGATGAACGAGTTAAGAACTTTTAAATTCGCAGCTAGGTCCTAGGTGGGCTTCCATGAATGGGCCCCATTGGGCCTCAACTCATTTACTCACCTGGTATGCTCCTATAAGATGGATGGCAATGCAGACGTTGGCGAAGTCAATGAGCCAAAAGGGTTCATAAAATCCAAACCCGGTAAGGAAGTTTCCGGGTGCATTATTCCCAAACGCGGCATAACCAACGCAACCACACAGCACGTAGAACAGGGTTGTGGTCGACACCCCGATAAAGGAAGCCTTCTTCATTACTTTGTTCTCCGGGGGACTTGATTTTAGTGTGTCCTGAAATTGCAAAAGCATAGAATAAAGTGAGGAACAAATCAGTGGTAACAATAAATAGTTCCATGAAAAAAAGAAGCCCGGTTCTGTTTATTTACTGCTGTTTTATTCCCAGATTCCATCTTAAGGGTCAGGGTCCCACTGACCCGGTTAATCACTATTTTGGGATCTTTGGTGGTGATAACGTGGCACTACCAACAGTCCAATCCAAGTACTCACTCTGAATTCAAAAGGTTGGTATAACATCCAAAAACAGCACCAATTTGTGCTTCTGGGCTTTTTGGACGGTCCATGATTGAGGGCCAGGTTTAACATTGGGCCCATTTTGAGTCTTTGGCCATCTCTAAAGTCAAACCCTCTGATCCTTTCCTGACCCGACCAGTGTCCGGTGGTTAGGCGCTGGGATTTGTCTTGGAGCATCGAGTTCACATCTGCGCCCCACAAGGGATCCCCACCTTGTATTGGGAATATCTCACATCCAAAAGAACTTTTCTGGTGACAGGCTTGACTGACCTGACCTGTAGCCTGGAGGAGTTGCAGAGAGGAGAGACCCCACTCACAGTTACAATTTGAGGATAAAGCAAATGGGCTATCAAGTTGACTTGAGCTTTCCGCAAGTCCATTTCTACAGCCACAATCCACCGCGTTTTAAATGGGCCCCCATCAGATGCTCAAATAAATAAATAAATAAATAAGAAATTGATATCTAACTGTACACGTGAAACTGCTCTGGAATCCTCTCATATGAGCTAACCCTAAAATTGGTGGTCTGTCATGATGTGGAGGAATCTCTTGAAGCCAATTGCTATCTAACCACCATAAAAAAAGCCAAAACAAAATAAAAAAAAAAGAAGGCTTAAATCGTGTGGAAGAAAAAGACAAGGATACTATTGTCTTGTTTCGTTTTGTGTACATGATTGGATGAATGAAAGACACTTAAAACAATTTTTTTTTTTTTTTATGTTTTTTCTGGTGAGGGTAGCTGCCCATCCTGCAGTGGCCCACCAATCTATATCACACGTATGATATTTGTAGATGCACAAAAGGACACATCCTATTGACCGATGCCAGGACTCTAGTGTGAACGGGACAAACTACTATTGTACCGATTCAGAAGTTTCTTTGAAGCTAGGTCTAGCCAATTTTGGGTTGCAAGTGTTTTCCGCCACATAGAGGTAGTAGGTCGAATGTGTAATCTAATCTCTTCTGTGTCGGTTTCCAAACCTCACATGGGAGTGTTACCGAGAGGGAGGGACATAAGGCCGACTGGACTGGACTGGGGGTTGAGTTCAAATTTTCAAAACTAGCAATTCAATGCGGTTACGTTGCGTCTGAAGACTCGTTTTACGGTTTTAGAGCGTAAACTGAAGACCTTGTCGGGAGCAAAAAATTGCAAAACAACGACTTTCTCAGTTTCTTTTGCTTGTATTATCGAAGGTTTGAGGTTAATCCCCCACAAGTCCACAACTCATGATCTGGGCCCTTGTGACATCTGTGAGAAATTATACCTCTTTGATGATACTGAATGGGCCTCTCAGAATTTAAATATTAATGGAGTTCATCAAAGCTCATCAAAACGTCACTGCTCATTCATTCAATTCTTTCTTTTCTTTTCTCTGTTCCACGTGGGCCCAGAAGTTGAATTCACGTTTTAGGTAAAAGTATGCGTTGAATAATGTCTCTCTCTCTGCAGTCAATAACAGGTAAGAGGGGATTCCAGTATGGTCTTGCACACATCTCAAGCATGTTTCAATAAATACCCCACCTTATTTGTCACCAACATTTCCCTTCTGTTCTCTGCTTTCACACAGATGACAGAACAGGTAAACAGCTGAAATGGCTGAACCAAGTAGTTAATTGCTTTGTTTTTTAGTGAATTAATTCTTAAGGTGGTTGTGAGCTCCTTAATTGCTGAGGATAAAGTCGGATAGATTACTACACACTAAAATATCTTATTATATAATTATTTTATCAGTTAAAACACAAAGCAAATAAGTGATTCAGTTCAGCAAATTCAGCCGTTATCAAAATCAAACCGTCCATAAGAATAAGAAGAAGAAGAAAAAAAAAAGAATATAGAGACATAAAAGACATGAGAAAATTGGCTTACCTGAATCTCAATGAGGACGGTAGAGTAGGCGTAGGCAAAAGCAATGTCTCCGATGGCTTGGAATGTCTTCCACACCTTCTCGGTGCCGGTGACATCCACCCCAACTAAAACCCCTGTTAAGCTTGTCCTCACATCACCGCTTCCCTCTGCAAAAAGATTCCAAACAGCAGACCCACCTTATCTTCTTTACTAAACCAACAGAGCGATCGAAACAAAAACAACTCAAACAAGCAGAAGGGGAAAAAAAATCTTTAATTTTCTTTGGAAAGTCAAAATTTCTACTTGCAGAGTTTTTATTAGTTGCTAAGCTAAGAACCTGCAACTTTGGCTACAGAGAGACCGAGGCCTATTGAAGAATAAGCAAAAGACATCACAGCCGCGAGGATGGACAACCAAGAGAGCTTGTGAAAATTGGGTATTTGGGACAGAACGATCTGGATGCTCGCGAAGATGATAATGAAGGGATAGTCGGCTACGTTGCACTTGGTATGATGCCCGTGTGTGTGGAAACAATTAGACCTTTTGACAGCCCTGATGACGAACCAGAGAAACAAACATGTAGTAAATAATCAGTCCTTTTCGCAGCATTTCCATATAAACGTACACTTCTGTAAACAACTAAAGCCATTTCAAAGGTCTAAGGTTCTGAGTTGCTTACGCCATACTGATGGATGCAGTGATGGTGTATCCGATTGTAATCCCCACCAGATTTACGTATTGAGCTAACCCACAAAGCTGAATCTTGATTCCTCCTGAAGAAAAAGAAAGCCGGGAAAACGATTTTGAAATGGGTTTTCTTGTTGCATATATTGTCTCATCAATTATTCGCAGATTGATCTGTTAGGAAAAAGAGATAACTCCAAGAAACAGATTTCTGGTTTTGTTTTAGCAGTGAAATTGTTACCTAGATGGGCTCTTACAACATCCATGTAGGTATAGTTTCTCTTCCCTGTAACAGGATCGGGAGATCTGTAACAGTCGGCAAGCAGTGTAGAAGTGAAATAAGTGATGCCAGAGAAGGCGATGAGAACAGAAGGTCCAGCAACCCAACCCAACTGAGCTATGGCCCAAGCTAGGGACAGCACTCCCGATCCAATGACAGCAGTAATTATGTGAGCACTTGCGGTGATCAACGTTCCTTCAAAATCAGAACAAACCCACATCAAGAGAAAGAAGAAGAAGAAGAAGAAGAAGAAGAAGAAGACGACAGATTTAGAGGAAATCTCAGAATAAATTTGACAACGGTTAATCATTGATACAATACCAGTCCTCTTTGCGCGTCCATCGTCATCCAAATTTTTATTACTGATACCCATCTCCATCATCCCCGGTGCTTCTCCCATGTAGAAGTTACCTTTTTTCTGCAACTCTACCGCCATCTCTCTCTCTCTCTCTATCTCTCTCTCTTCTCCACTCAAAGGAGATGGCTCAGCAGAGCTATATATATAGTAATAGCAGTGTTGAGCACGAGAAAGCACACTTCGAAGATAACGTTAGAAAGTTCTCCAAGTGAAGAACCACAAGTGAGGAAATGATTTAGAGCACTTTTGTGCCAAATGCTGAATGACAGAATCAATACTCGGTAGGACAATAGAAGGAAGGAAGAGGAGCCGTCTTTATAAAAGTTGTGCAACACTGCAAAGTTCTAAAGATCAAATCTGGGAAACAGGGTGATTTGCGTAAGAGCTCTCTCAACCGTCTGATGATAAATTGGGGGATTGGTCTTAGGTGGGTTCCACCACATATACAAGGGTGGGTTTGGGTTTTGGAAAAAGCAAAGAAAAGCATTCGGACTAGGTGCTCTTAATGATTGACCAGAGTTGCACCATCGAAAGTGCTCTTCTAACTTGGGTTTGGACCGTCCATTTGGTCAAAGGAACATGTAAAATCAATCTTGACTTTGGTCTTCACCTCGAATTTAAGTAACGACAAGTCTTCACGCCCACTTTTTTAGTTCAACTCCTTTTGCTTCCTTTTCCCGTACAATTCGGGAGTAAAATTGAAGAGAGCAGCTCAGAAATTTCAAATTACTTTTTCAGTTTTTAGTGATCTTTTGGCAACATACAAACCTCTTGATAGTGCAATTCCCAGAAGTTTGGACTATATAATATATAAGTAATTTATATTTTACTGAAACCTTTGTATAGGAGAATGGAAGTGGGCTTTTAGAGAGTGCAATCATCATTTGTCCGATTAAAGAAGAAGAAAAGTTAGAAACTGTTTTCACTTGCGCAATGGGAGTCGGGATGATTCTTCTTGATTCCAAGAACTAGTGATTTGGAAACTTTTTTCACTTTTCCCCAACTTTGAACTATTTTCATGTTGGTTATGCCCTCTTAATGAGTAGTTGAAGGAAATTGTGAAAACAATTAAATTTGTGTTGATTTAAACCCATTTAGGTTTGTACAAATGGGACTGTGTAGACTAGTTATACAAACAGTAAACGAAGCTATATGGTCATAACAAAAGAAAATAATAAACTGTAATTTATCAAAAAATTATTGTTAGAGAATTATATTTTTTCAAAACAAAAATAAACTTTTACTCTTCAAACATTTGAAAACAAACAAGGCAACCAAGAACATGTTTCTGTGTTTGTTTTGAGAAATCATCTGTTCTCGAATAAGATGGTTTTGATTTATTTTTGGAATCGACAACAAAGAAAAAAATCAGATTGGAAAACACCCCATAGTTATCGACAGATCATCTATTTAGACTCATTTGGGTTTTCTTGCAAAGTATGGTATGGTATAAACATGGTTTTAAAAACTCACCAGGAAACGGACCACTTTGACCACTGGTTCCTGGGTCAAACGGTCTGATTGTTCGTTCGATTTGAATCCTGACCAAACAGTTTCTGAGTCCAAAACTGGACCCGGAGCCATGGCTAGTTCCTTGGTCAAATGGTCTGACCATCTGCTTGGATATGGTTTTCAAAGCCATGCCATGGTACAACTGCATCTATCATTTTTTTCGGTAAATTGCAGATTTATACCTTTTAGAATAAGACACTATTCATTATCCTCTTCTCTTCTCTGAGACTAAACCATGAGAGAGGTGAACAGACTCCCAAACCCACCACCAGTTCACCTCCTATCTAAGATGTCTTGATGCCACTTGAAGCCATAGTAGTCAAGAAATGTTTGACCTGACACTTGACATTCTTGGATGAACGGAGTGATTGGTGGTTCTATAGAGGTATTTGATTGTTTATGACAACAAAGGACAATTTGGTAATTTGATTATCCACTGTAACATCTGTGGTGATGGACTAAGGGGCAGTTTTCACTAGCTTAGGTAGTGCGGTGGTATGTTTTAAAGTTCAGTTAGTAAAGAGAGACTACCTCTCAAAGTATAATATTCTTTTACCTATTTCAATTTTCTACGCCAACAAAGAACTATTGTCTTACTTGGTTTTATGTATATTTTTATAAGTTTTCGATTATAGTACCGAAAAGACATGATACTGAAAAAAACTTATTAAAATTCGTGGGTAGGTTTTGATGGATCAAAGCTATTTCAGCATCATACCTTTCATTCCGTCATCGTAGATTTGCCCTATTTTTATAAGGAGGGCTAAAACTTGCCAGTTGCAAAGCTATTTTTACTTCAATAGTGGCATTAATCCGTAAAAATAATATAAAAGCAACTAGTTCACGACCTACTACTATATTCAACGCATGGACTATATTCTTCTCTCTGAATTTGAACTTTGAAACATTGAATGTGTTGGGCAGAGCATATATTGTTTGCAAAGCTTCTTATAAAGAGAAATCCAAGATAAATTAAAGCAACTAGTTGATTGTTTTGTCAAGTTTAGCCGGAAGGGAGCAAATGGGTGATTAGAGCACAAAATATTTTATGCAATTATAGAGTCTTTTTTATAATTAACCCAGTTCTTGACGTATACAAATTGGCTGTTCATTGTAAAGCGGAGAGCCGTAGAGTAGTAGAGGTATATATTGATGCAATGGTTTGTTATATTCCTTTCAGTCATGACAGGAATTCTTGATAAAAATTACACGCTATATATAGTCGTATTCCATGAGAAATCTGAAATGTTTTCTTTTGGCCAAATTTTGAAAGCTACATTATTATTGTTCTGATTAAAATGGACCCCCAGAGATTAACCTATATTATTGGTGTTCCTCCCTAGAATTTCTCCATTTTCAACAACATTTAAACAAAGTAACAAGGAATCAAAACTTCCTCTTCAGAACCACTGCTATATATTCAAGTTCCGTAACTGTTTATTATTATGGATTTCTTTGGCAAGTCAGAGAAAGGTGATACATCTTTTTCAAAACCTCAAACTTCACTTACAGAGCAAGTGGAGGAGGGACGAAAAGGTACAAAAAGCATAGCTGCATAGGGACCGGAGGGTATATATAGCAGCTTTACCCCGAAACCCGATACAAAAACATACTTGAGGTTCATGGTGGTTTGATGGCTGATAGGGCCATTTTTATGAAAAATTGGAGATAAAAACTATTGAAAAATAATAATAATGAAACTTATCCATAAACGTTTTTCAAAACCAACTTCGGCAGTGACACATCCCTGATTTATCAGAGAATAACGTCTCAATAATTCCATTAAAAGCAGGGAGCCCGCAACCCAAGCTTTCACCAAGCAGCGTCAAACCAACGATCCTGCTCATTTAATTCGTGATGGGCCAAACCTTGGATAATTATTGAGCTGACCCCCCCGATCAGGCCCCAAAGCCGGAGCTAGCTAAGCTTCTCCCCCTTTTCCACCCCTTTCCAGAGATAACTGATAACTCACCCATCCCTTCAGTGTTCAGTATTAATTATCAACTGTTGACAAGATGGTGTAATAGTTTGAGGTCATTAGACCAACGTACATGATAAAGACCCACAAGGGCTAGATGGGATCAATGGAATGTCTTGTACTCTGGTTTCAGTGTTTCACCAACTAAGGTCCAAGGAATGGTAATAAGATATTAGATCGAGTCAAATCACTCGTATGGAACTCGATCCGTTTTTGACATAATCAAAAAAGGCTTCCGAATCTGGTGCAAATACAAGTATCGGATCTTTGCTATGTGACCAAATTACAAAGTTTAATTAATTAAGAGGAGATATATAGGGTCTAATCATGCTAATTTCTAACCTTATAGATTATAGATGAGGCGAGAAGAGTCAATGAGGGAGTTGGTGACCCAGAAGAAACAAAAAGGGTTATAGATAAGGGATGGAAGGAAGAGAATTATCAGGCATTCTTTTATTTTTTTCTAAATTTTGATTTGATAGTCTGTCTATAAATAAAGTCATTTCACTATAATGGATGGAAGATTATTCGAGTGAAGCCATCCAGAGAACAGTGAGTGGGTAGAATGTTGACAAGTAACATTTTATTGTGGAAGTGAAGTGTACCGTGGTGGATTGGAGCCGCCCATCAGTGGTTTGTGAAAATGAAACAAAACAAGCATCTTAGACGTAGCGGTAGAGTCCTCAGTAGACAAAACAAAGAATGGGCCCCATTTCTCTCTCATTTCGGATCCTTGAAGTTGAAAGTGAACGACTTAGAGTTAGACAAGGTCTTCATTTTCTTTTCTTCGGATCTTTTTCTTCACTTTTTTTTTTCGGGTCCATTGAAAACGCGTTCTAGTCACATTCATCAGTTTAGACTCTGCATGGGTACAACAGTTGACCCGATCCGCCAACTCGTACCAATAACAACCGGGGCGGGTGATTGGACGGTTTTCCCTATTTTCTCTACTAATCTGCTCTTAATTGCCGCTTTCTAAGATGATGAAAAATCTATATTTATACTATTTTAAAAAGCATGACTGTTCTCAAAAATATTTCTATAAATTTTTTAGGATAAAATTTATCTCCTCTATATTTAAATTTATTGATAAAAATGAAAGCAAATGGCTAATTGATTATTAATTTTAAATAAATTAAAAAAAGACAATTTTAAGATATTCAATGAATTTAATTTCCATTGAAGCGAAAAAGAATACATTCAATTTCCTCTCATTAAATCCAATTTTTAAGTTATTAACTTGCATTCATGTTCATTGAATCATATATTTAAGCAATTTTTGTTGCTTCTCATCATTAAGTCCTACTAATTAAATCCATACTTAATAAATTAATAATTTCAATAACATAAAAGCTTATACTTTTAAAATCTACTTAGAAAAATAGTGTTTTAATTTAGGTGGTGGTAAGAAATTAAACCATTTTGGGTCAAATGGGTCAATCCATGTTGCCACGACTAAATAATAAAATTCAAAAATGGATACAATGAAAATAATAAAAACTAAAAAAATGGAAACATTTTTAAAATACATATTAAACAATAATAAGTACGATAAATAAGAAATGATTTTATTAATGATGGAAATGGAATGTAAAATTTAAAACCAATTGGAAATAAAAATATTTTCTTATTCTCTTTCATTAAAACATATATTTAAAATATATTTTTCTCATCATTAAATTCTTGTAATTAAATCCAAAATATTAATTTTAATAATATAAAAATAAATATTTTGAAAAGTAATATGAAAACAAAACCATTTTCTTCCCTATTGGAGGTAAGCAAGCAATTCGACCATTTAGGATCAAATGGATTAATAAATAAT